CATATATACATACATATACATACATATATATACATACATATACATATATATACATATACATACATATACATATATATACATATACATACATATACATACATATACATATATATATATGTGTGTGTGTGTGTGTGTGTGTGTGTGTGTGTGTGTTTAATACATATATGTGTGTGTGTGTGTTTAATACATATATATATTAATATAAATTAACTCATTATTTACGCTGAAAATTATTTAGGAACCGGAAAAAAAGAGAATGTACCTTTCACAAAACCCTGCCCCCAAACTGTCATTGTCCACTTATACATCCTAGCAACCGTTACCTAGGAACATAATGGTGAAGCGATGAGCCCACCTGGTGAACTGATTCACCTATGGTACTTTTCCTCCGTCTAAAATTAACCAAAAAGTATATCAAAAAAACAAACAAAAAAAAATCGACTAATCACATTTTGGTAGAGCGAGAACTTATCGACCTATAAATGAGGTAAAGATATATACATATACATACATATACATATATATACATATACATACATATACATACATATACATATATATATATGTGTGTGTGTGTGTGTGTGTGTGTGTGTGTGTGTGTTTAATACATATATATATTAATATAAATTAACTCATTATTTACGCTGAAAATTATTTAGGAACCGGAAAAAAAGAGAATGTACCTTTCACAAAACCCTGCCCCCAAACTGTCATTGTCCACTTATACATCCTAGCAACCGTTACCTAGGAACATAATGGTGAAGCGATGAGCCCACCTGGTGAACTGATTCACCTATGGTACTTTTCCTCCGTCTAAAATTAACCAAAAAGTATATCAAAAAAACAAACAAAAAAAAAATCGACTAATCACATTTCGGTAGAGCGAGAACTTATCGACCTATAAATGAGGTAAAGAAACCGTCCCCACACACTGCTCCCCGGGCACTTATGCTGCCCCCTGCTCACTTTGGTGATGGGTTAAAAACAGAGGTCACATTTGGTTGTGTGCAGTGGTGGGCTGTGACTCAATGACAAGGAGTTCACTTTCACTAAATTCTACGAGACAGCTGCTCCACTTCACATCTTTTCCATTAGTGAACGAGCCACACAGGTCTCTTAAGGACATCATGGATGTCTTTGCTGAGGACATTTTCCTCTGAAGACTCAAAACCTCATATTATTTCACTATTTTCCCACCCAGACATTTGGCTGTAGACCATTTTCCATGTCATTGTGTTGTTTAGTGAGTATTATTTGTTTAAACTCAACTTATAACAGCTTCAGGGTCAATTTTTGTTTGTACTTTCTATTAAAAGCCATTTCCATTCCAACTTAATTTCATTCACAAGCTTTTGTTAGTGTTTTTCGGTTATCTGTTTGTGCTTTACATTATAAAATGTGCATTAAAACATAGCCAACTTTGTGTCTGCCATCCTCGAACCTCATTAGAAGTGCGTATACTTTTGTTGCAAGTCTCTTGACTTAGTATGTAACAAACTGTAGGGCAAAGAAAGAGTGGGGGGGGGGGGCACGGCGGAGGCTAAAGCTAGACCAAGCATATACAAACACAATGGCTTTCAACCAGCACAGAATGCCACAATAAAGTGGACGTAGAAATGTCATAAAATGAGTATATAAAAGCTTAATGTCAGACTTCTGTTTTGCCTCAAACATTGTGATGGTGGAGGAGGTCATGATAACATTTCTACTCAGACGGTCCAAACAGTGGTCCAAACAGGGACAGAGCAGGAGACAATGGTGGTTTGTGTGGACATGAAATAAAGCGTGGCAGCTGGACAGGGATTTCTTCTTCCTGCGCACGTGAGCTATACTGCACAGCACTGCCCATCGCGATCTCCAGAGGTACTGCAACCCCGTGTGGGGGTTTGCTTCAGCAAGCGCTCCAAAAATGTACTAAATTGAGTGGGATTGCGCCAGTGAATAGATATTGTAGTTCAGCCTAAATAATATGGTTAGAAGTAATTTCTCCAGTGTGGGATCAATACAGTTCAATCTAATCTTCTAATCACAAATATTAAAAATAGCATCCAACTTTCAAGATAGCTACACATGAAGTTCACTCAGATATACACCATTCAAACAGATTTGTTTAAAGTCTATGACAGTATAAAAAAAAAAAAAAAACTTGTGTGAGTAACGGTCAGCAGTTTTGTGTGTCACAGGTCCACAGGTTCAACAAAGAAGATAGGTGCAGTGGAGAGCATTCCTATTCAGGTAACAAAACTAACAACAAGATTTTTAGAATTATACCAGATTCCTCTTGATCTTATCATGAAATCCTTGTCGACATTTCTGTCTTTGGATACTAACACAAATGACTGCATGCAAACATGATGTCACAAAACCTTTCCAGTTTTGCCTCACATCCAACGGAAGTCATGTTTGTACATGTGTGAAAGTGTGACATCAGCAGAGCTAAAAATAAAGGAGTGTGTAACCAATGAGCTTTACTGTAGTGACAAAAAGACACTGAGCAATTTGCTTTGTTAACCTTGGTCATTAGACCATACACTTCACTTCCTGGAATTTTAATCAGTCAACAAAGTGGTGTGTTTTGTTTAGTAACGGCAGCTGAAACATTAAAAAAAAAAAAAAGCAAACATGCGAAGATAAGAGCATTAACTAACTGATGTGTGCTGAAGTCAACAAAACTGAAATGCATTAAATGTAGAATCAACATTAGTTCTAATCTAAAGGGACGTGTCAAAACTGCTGGCTATAATTTAATTTTTAATTTATTTTGGGATATAGAACACAATTACATTCTCTTGAAGAATAATAACCTTTATGTTATGGTGATTTTACTACCATATGTCTGAGGTTTATTCTCCAGGTACTCTGCTTCTGTCCCAGAAACATGATATTATTTCAAATGGACACTTCATTTGACTGTTGGTGTTAATGTGGGTGTGAATTTGTGTCTACATCAGGCTGGTAAACTTTCCCCGACGACTTACCAAAAGAAGTATGCATTATAACGATACATAACTAATGATTATTGTCATCATACTTTGAGGATCCTCAAAAGTTTCCACACAATTGTTGCAGAAAAAAACATTTTATCTGCTAAAGATATGTTGCCTGAAAAATCAATTTTCAACAAGTAAGCAATGTTTTTTTAAATCAGTTACCAAAAATACCCAAAGGCATTTTTTTTTAAACTGTGATAAAATCTGTGTCCATCAATCTCAACATGCACTACGCATGTAATTACATTCAAGGTTTTCCTTTTCTGCTCTAGAGTGCCATTCCTTACGTCACCGGGACCGAAGGAAAGACTCGATTGATGCCAGATCACTCAGCTCTCGTGGCAGTGATGGTGAGATCTTTTAAACTGCATCATATGTATGAATAAATAAGTCTCTACTTCAGAGCAGAGGAGGGTCTGAGGAAATGAGTAAAAGATTATGGAGAGAGATGATGAGGAGAGTGATATAAGGGGATAAGGTGACACAAAGGATAAATGGAGCAAGGGGGAAGATAGGGAATGGAAGTCAGAGAATGGCTCAGGGTGTATTACGAGAGGTACTTGAGCTAAAGAGAACCTAAAAAGAGGTGCTGTGTGGGCTGATGACATTATTATCCTCCACACTCTTCAGGTCCCTTTGACGCAGATGCTTGTATTTTCAATTGAGAGCTTTTTCTCCTCTTACGCCTACCTTTTACTCTCCAATCAGAATTCAGTCTGAATTTCCTTTATAAACAATTCAATTCGACTGTTGTGACTCAGTTCTACATATTGTCACACATTCTTTTGTGTTTATTTCATAGACCCTCAGGAAAACCACGCAGAATTTGTACAGTGTTGTGATTTTGGGCAAATGTATACCTAAAACCATTTACACATCACTACTTTCTGTATTGCAGCTCCTAGTTTACAGAACAGAAGATATTCCTCTATTGCTAGGATTCACTCCATGACCATCGAGGCTCCCATTACCAAGGTACTAAACCCTCATAACGGAAGTGGTTTAGATGAGGAAGCTTGAGGCCCAGTATTTACAGGAATTCTAAACACTGTTCTCATTAATAAAAGTGAATATTGATGAAAATGAAAACTAACGAGAATGAGGAAACATTCATACGTGGTTCTAAATTTAATGTCTATCTGATGATTTTTAAAACATCAGTCTGAACGGTCATGACAAAATTCTGTGGGGGATGTAAATTTAAATAATCAAAAAAATAACCTCCAATAACACAGCGTATGACGTCACATCCTCCCTCCATTTCGTCACAGCCATAGTCTGCCAACAGTAGAGTGTGATGGCGATCGTGTTTAAACCATAATGTGAAAAACAGAAATGTCAAAAAACAAAAAAAAAGTTTAACCCTGTTCCCTGAGTGTTCCATGACCCTGCTGCCGTGATCCAAGGAGCAACTGGGGCAGAAACTGTCAGCAACAATAAGCCTGATCTGTGTGCTAGTGTAGCACATAATGTGATGATATGGGGTATACAATAAGTCACATTGTTGTGCTGCCTCCCACTGCAGATCCTATGACCTTCTTGTGTGTTTCAAACATGGCTTTTATTAAGCTTTTATTGCCTCAGTCGAGACCTACCCAGTGTCACATGCACATTTCTATGACACATGTACATCGAAAGGGGCACTTTGATATTGTGTCATATGCTGAGACCTCTTCGACGTATGTAACAGTTTAAATGTCACCTTATCTTTTCCTAGGTGATAAACATAATCAACGCAGCTCAGGAGAGCAGTCCAGTCACAGTCGCTGAGGCTTTGGATCGAGTCTTAGAGATCCTGAGAACCACAGAACTCTACTCCCCTCAGCTTGCCTCAAAAGAAGATGACCCTCACACTAACGACTTAGTTGGGGGACTAATGAGTGTAAGAGGAGCTGTCTATACTCAGTGTAGGCTCTTTAAAGAACAAAGAACAAACAAAGCTCATATGACCTATTGTTTATGCTATCCCCAAAATAGGAAATGCTTAGATTTAGGTCTAAAGAAAGTAAAAACAACAATTCTCTGTTCTTTTGTTTCTTTTTTCTTAAGAAAATTAGGCTTAAAGTTTGGATGCACTGGGATAACTTGTGAAATAGGACAACAATGCAAAAACTACATAGAATTGAGCCATATGGCTAAAACCCTCTTTGTTGTTGTTAGTCTATGTGCTAACTGCTGCAGAAGGTTTCTTTACGATGGTAAACCTTTAAATGACCTTTGGCACACTCTTAAATGGCAGTGTTTGTCGACACTGTAAAAAAAATTATTTACAATCTGAGCTAATTCAAACCTAGACATAATCAGTTTTTTAGAACTTTTGTAAATTTAACATTTCATCAACCAACCCATTTCTCCTTTGCATGACTTGGTTTTGTATGTAAGAAACCCAAGGAACAATGTGAGGAACAAGCAACCGAATACCTAACAAAAATGTCTGTTAGCAGCTAATGCTAATTCATAAACATACATACAGAATCTTACAAGAAGAACAACAGTTAAAAGTCAAAGCTAGTGACTTGTTTTTGTATGGATGATGCGTTTGACCTTCTCTTAGGGAAAACCCCATCAGCAAACTGATATGAGAAAACAAAAGGGATTCATTTAAAAAAATATATTTACAAGGGAAAATTAAAAGTTTGTAAGACAGATGTTATGATTAAGTTTTATCACTATGCCTTTGTCAAGCACTGGATTTTCCAACTTTCAAATATTTAAATTGAAATAAAATCTCCAATTTTTAGACAAGACAGAGGTACAGCTTATGACCGGGTGTGGAAGACATCCCGGAGAATTTGACAAAAAGAAATTCTCTGATGGAAACACCACTTGCAGTCATGTTTAGACTTTGTTATTTTCTTCTTTTTTTCCCCAAAGACATTATGACTCACTCTCTTTTTTTACTCTGTAGATCCCTTTGTTTCCACAAGCTCAAACACCAGATTTCAAAAAAATAAATAAATAAACCCCTTTTCCTGTTTGTGCACTGGTTGATAAAAAACACACTGCCAAACTGTTTTAGGAAAAGCTGATTCCTAAAAATGTGCCTGAACTGAACTGACAGACACATTTTTTGTTTTGAAGGAATATTGTTACAGTTAGACAAAACCATCCTTTTCATCTCATTCTTAAATGACAAATTTGTGGCCTCCTGTCATATTGTATAAACCATGAAACCTTTCTATGTCTCAGAGTAAACCCATTGAACTTCCCATGTGTTGTTTTATTTTTCAGGATGGGCTGAGGAGACTCTCTGGGAATGAATATGTTTTCTGCAAGAGTGAGTCAAAACAGCAGATAAGAGTGGCATTGAAATAGACTGACTGAGTGTAAATGTGATGTGAGTGGTGACACTATACCCTGTGTAATTTGTGATGAGGCTCGAGCTTGTTTGAAGTCACAAAACACAAAAATAGAACAATTAACCAGAGAACCGGTTAAATTAACCACAGCATACATTTTCACAAAAAGAAAATAATGTATCTTTTTCTCTGCTGACATAGATGATTATACTGCAGCAGTAGGAATTTAATATATATATATATATATATAGAATATTCGCAGAATATTAGCTAGATGGAAAAATGGACATATTGACATGAAAATATCATTTTTTTATACATTATTACACCAAGAGATGACAATGACCCTTAACTACCTAGTGTAAGAATGGTTTCATTTGTATTCATTACGTATCCTCTTCTGTATAAGTCATTAGGGCCCTCTTGTAACAGAAGATTGAACCTAGGGTTCTATATGAACTGCAAATGTAACTTTACATTTTAAGTTACATAAGTGTAACTTATATGTCTTACATAAGAAAATGTTACAATAGACAGGAAAGTAATTCTGTTAGAATCATATAGAAACACAATACACAGAGCTGCTGTTCGATTCAAATCCATTTATGGTTGTACTGTTTGTGTCTGTGCATGTGTGCCTGTCAGATATGAGTCAGAGCCAGTTGGCCATACCAGTCACTCTAAATGACGTTCCTCCGTCAATTGCCGAGATGCTGAATGACGAGGAATGCTGGGATTTTAACATCTTTGACCTGGAGGCTGCTACGCACAAAAGGTACAAGACAGATGACCATAGATTTCTTTTTTTAATTTATGGGAAGGTATAATAATCAAATAGCCCACTTTTCAAAACTAAACCTTAAGGAATCTGAACTAGGTGGAAGATTTCTCTATTATGGAGAACTAAATATTGCCAAACACAGACAGACATATACATTTTTCTTTCACATAGTGGCAGTTTGATCATACTTGTTTGAAAATGATGCTGATTTTAGATTTAGCAAATAAGCGCAACCAAAGTAGACGAGTGTCAGAGTCAGCCACGAGAATGTAAATGAAGGTGTGTCCGACAGTGATGAGTACATCTCTTTACCATCTGTAGTCTCATACTAGATATCACCTCTGGTGTATACTTCCCAAAAAGCATACTATATTTTAAGGGCAGGTTTCATTGAGTGAGAAGAACAGTAAGGGATAAATAGAGGAGAGAAACAGAGAAATAAAGAAGGTGTTGTGGGAATGAAGGACTTCTCACTCATATTTTATTTGGCTA